CAACATGAAGTCATAAAAGATAATTCTACATATTAGCATACAATATGAATACACTGATTCTATTGATACCAAGTAAAATTCTCATGCAAATAAAAGTATTTGTAGTCCACACCTACTTTTTATATTAACACCGTATGCATAAATAGACCTTATATGTTTTCCAGTATTAGAGGATTATACGCAAATTTCAAGACAATATCTGAAGCATCCATGTTGTTGAGATGTTATTCTCTCATCAAAATTACTTGCGGATCAATTTCACACTAAATATGTTTACATTAAAGTGAATATTGCAAATGCGTACCTTGAGAATTAATCCACAACCTCAGTAATGTAAAGTGAACATGGTTTTGTGAATCATATTGAAATTACATTGTCATATTTAGGAAAATGTAACCATCAAATATAAACTGAATATGCCTCAACTCCAAACGGCTATGCACAGTAATAACAACGTAGAGAAACACTTTAAAAAATTTTAAGATACACAGATCTGTTGTTTTGATGAGGATAACAGTGCCATATAATGTAACCTAGACATTCAATCGTGATACCGCTTTATGCAAATGGAAATTTCAGGAGAAAATCGTCTCAACTATTGATGATTAAAACATCGCAGCATGAAGTACAGTGTCAGCGGAAATGGTGTAACAGATAGTTGATTGATAAAAAGAGAGCTAACTAGATTCAGTTCTCATAATCAACACAACCCATGTGCATAATAATATACACTAAATTAATGCACAAAGCGAAACCATGAGGAAAATTAATCAAGTTATTGCCCTCTCCGCTGCGTTGCATTTGCAACAATTATGAGAACCACCTACATCATTTCGCTCAGCAGTCAGCTAAGCAGACAATGGCACAATATTAATAAAGAAGAGTTACCTTTTGTACACTGAATCCACATAACCCATATTGCACTGTACTAATCAGTGCAAATATACATTTAATTCACTTATACATAACCTTTCAACTTATGGTAATTGCAGTCCAAACATGCAGACGGTGAAAGATGTGTACACATATACATGATAACTTCTTTTCCCACAGAAGGTTCTGTTAGCACTTATAGATGACTTCCATGTACCGATAGCATCCTTTTGTCAAATAGTACTGTTTTTCACACAGTAATATGCTGCATTGATATCCTTAGACGTGAAGTCTTAATTGAATGACACTCTACCGAAAGCTTCAGCTTCTAATTAAAGCAGACTGTTTGTGTAGATGACGTAACCTCTAACTATCCCATCTTCCTCATTATAGCGATATTTTGACACAGTCCGCCTGAAACACTAATCATTGCAACTAATATGCTAAGAGTGTGTCGCAGTCAGATCACATGTCGCGGACACCAACATGGCTTGTCAGGAAATGAGAATCTATATCAATCGAGAAAACATATAACACAATTTCATTAAAATTTATTCGCGAAAATATTTACCCAGCAAAATTTCAACCAATGCCAGATAAGTCCAGGCCAGAAGAAAGGTTGATATTTAAAATATTCAGCATGTTCTAAGTGACGCTGTGGAGGATCAGGGAAATTCAAGTGCCCCAAAAAGCTCCAAAACTTTCATTTTCACTATTAAACTTGTTTATTGCCATGTCTCATGCTAGAGGAAACCTTTCATGAACAAATGATTACGATGAAACATGACAGCGGTGTGAATTTCTATTGTTCTAAGCTGTTTCAACTACCTAAATACATCGTTTTACTGGGTCAGGCTCAGTTTTCCTGCTTAATCGTTTGTTTATTGTCAGGGCTATCTTGGCCACACAGCGCTGGGTGGGAAAGGCTAAGAATGGAGAAAAAGTGTAGTCCATTACAAAGTGAGTGGTGACAAAGACGGTCATTAGTGTCTGAGGCGACAAAAGTAGTGTTGGGTGTCTGAAATAAACCATATGATGAAAGGCTAAAGAAACTAGGCTCATTCACCCTTAGCTACCGTCGGGTTAAGGGTGATTTGATTAGTGCCTACAAGACAATAAATCACCAGAATTACTCAAACGAAAGTGCTCTGCCTTTGAATAGGTATAGGCACCCTCGTGGAAATCCCAGAAGGATAGCTCATCAGAGGGCAAGGAACCGGTTGCGCTCCCACTTCTTTTCACTGCGGGTTTGCCGTCCCTGGAACGCCTAATCGGCAGATATAGTTATGTCACCGTCTAAGGACAGCTTTAAGCGAAGGCTGGACAATCATGCGAAGACACAAGGACCACACACAAATGGTCTATCTCCTTGAAATCTCATGGGTAGACATCTGAAATTCGTCGTTTCAATACTTTACATTCTCTCCCCTCTTACTATTCTGACTACTCCAACTACAACATTTACACTTATTACAATTATTACTGATATTATACACATATATATTTATATATGTTTATACATACCAACTCCAAATTTAATTGGCAGTCTCTTTTTATACTTTGTTTCTTTTTGTATCTTTTAGTCTGAATAACCTGCACTAATTATATCTGCTTTGATTATTATTTCTTTATTTTGACGATAACACCGGTGGACTAACTCCCTTTACAGTAACAACAAAGTTTTAACACACCGCATACTACGAACAACATATCAATAATCCTAGCACTACTCATTTTGGAGTCAATAAAAGTTACGGCAGTCGAGTGGCGGGACGGACTACGCTGAAGTTCACTGAAGACCATAAACCTTTGCCTCACAGTCAAGAATAGAGTACAAATAAATTCAATTTGCATAAACTAGTTCATAGAAACGATATTGAATATTGGATCCTAAGGTCATTAACCACGATATATCAAAACTGCATACATTTAAGTTTTTAGTTGGAATCAGTAAGCAACATTAATGTAGACGATTTGTATACTATATTAGAACTGTTCAAAAAGAAGTCCCTTAGTTCTGAATGTTACTGTTATACCAAAAACGAATTTTGTTCAAATAATATTTATGAAGTGTGATACATCAAAAAATATTTCTTTTACTTGAGTCATGTTGTTCTGATTATTTCAGGTGATGCTTCCTTTTCTAATTAACAAATTTTACTAATATATGTTAATTGGTTGGAGGTAGGAGGTCCTGGACGACTCAGGTTACATGACTGTTGACAGTCGACAGCAAGGCGTATCTGCTATATTCAAGGTATTTATATCCCTTGTGAGATTCAAACCTGCGTCACACAGAGTTGCAGTCAGAGATTTTACCACTGAGATACACGGTTTAGCTATTTACCTCCTTTATAACTGTACTGGATACTTTGGTTGTACCCTACGCAGAAACTAATATAACATGTCCAGTCTTTTAACTCATAGAATTAAGTCAACACTAAACGAAGGGCTAGGTAGTATTCCGCAGTAATGACTTTTTCTTAGCCTGATTATCACTTCAGTTTATTTTAGTATACACCCCAGAGAGTTTTCACGCATTGTCTTGGACACTGTTCTGATATCAGTTGTGTTTTGATGTCAGTCTGCCACCTACTTTTATCAGGGTCACGAATTTAAATTGTTTTCAAGCCATTTCCGTATTTGTTTTCCTGCTGTCATGTGCATGGTGCCACCGCACATCATCTACACACTAGTAAATTGGTGTGTAGTATGGAATGTAGTATAATCACTGGCAAAATGTTGAGGATTGTATGAGGCATGTCTTTAGCCTTTTTGAATATTAAAAGTCAGGTTCCATAATACGTTTTATGGGGATAAAATTTGATCCCTGTCTTAAAATCATACTATTTATTTCTCCGGTTTAATTTGAATAAATGGCTAAATATTGTTCAACCAAGAAATGAGAAAATAATTGGTCAGTTTTGATATAGTAGGTCTGAGTAACAGTTCATCAATCAAGCTGACACTTAAGGCAGATAAACATGAGCTGAGCATTGACTACGAATTCAGTGAAACAATTTGGTCACTAATTAGAACTATCATATCAGCAACAAAGAAGAAATGTTTGTATTGTCATGAATAGCGTTGGCATCCGCACTGCTTCAATGTACGGCGTGCGAAAGCGAAGCATGTCCTTAGCTTTCTTCAATGACTGAGTTGATGATGTCGGCTAGTAATTGTTTTCGGCAACGATAGCTAACTCGCATACATGATAGTGATTAGCGACAATGGTTTGTTCATCGTGTCAGTCATAGTAATTTTTTGTTATAATTCCAATAAAAATGGCTCTGAATTTATTCTACAGATTCATTTTTAGTTAAAGACGTGGGTTTTACAACAAAACATTACTAATGTCAGCCTCTGAAGACTCATGAAAGTGTATTTTCGGAAATAGAATGTGCTTATTCATCAAGGAACTAAATACATTGTCCTAGAAGTATTACATTTATTTAAAAATTGATTCATGATCAAGAAAAATGCATTTATTTGTCTAACAACTTTAAGTTCTTCATATTTCTTCTTTTTCGCTTTCAAAGCAGTCCCATCTTAGAGTAGCAGTTGAAAATTTGAAATTCGAAATTACATCCTATAAGAGACTATTATTTGTTCATTTTTTCAACAATATTTATTTTACAGTTTCCATTTAAAATGTATAGATTAAACAGTCCACAATATGCAAACACTACACGGTCTCACAGTTGTGTTATTTTAATCACACTTCTCATTTTCGATCAGTGAAATAAGTTAACGCCTCTTGTGATCCTATTTTTATGTTTTGGAATAATAAAATGAGTTGAATTGCTTACACTGAAAGCGGTTATGTGTGACATTGTGTTGCTGTGATTAAAATCATTATAAAGATAGAGGAGAGTTAAATTGCATGAGAAATCTTAAATTTAGTGAGATTTTCATACAGCCGGTTCCCTTAATTTGAATAAAGAAATAACGAACATATTTGCAGGATAATACGAACTCATTTTATTATGTCTATTCTTTTCAACTGCATACATCCCAAATAAATCAGTTATATGTCACAAAATGTTTTGAACATACTTTTTACAATGATTTCAAGTTATAAATGGTTGCATAAGCAACGTAACTTCAAAGATGATGTAAGTAGACACTTATTTAGTGTTAAAAGAGTAACTATTTATTTAGGAATTAGACAAAAAGGGGGAATTTGGATTTTGCTTGGAAACAAGGATGGACTAGGGACAGAATACAAGATAGAACAACAGATTTAATTTATAAATATTATGGTGCAGAGTTCAGGAAGGTTGGTGTGCACAGTACAGTAAGACTATGAAATAGAAAAAATAATTTAATTTAGTAGATTTGGAGCCTTAACAGTGAGTTCAAATTAGTGAGTGAAAATCAAAATTGAGTGGAATGCTATGCGATTCATGTTACCAGATTTATTCCAGAAACATTCATCAAAATTTTCTTGAAGTGGTACAGAGTTTATGACAATGCGAACTACTAGAAGTCAAGAATTCACCCCCAAATTTCCAAATAAATAGTTTCCAAAGAATACTGCATTTTATTAATGTACAGAAGAGACGTCAGTGTTTGAGTCGTTACTCAGGCCAACATTAAACAGTATAGCATGTTGTGCACTTGCCTGTGGGGATCAATCAAGTGAATCAGAGTCGTCTATTACCCTGCTGTCAGAAAACAAGTTCAGCTCATGGTTTTGAAATCCCTAATCCTCCAAATGTCTCACCTTCTCATCTACAGGGATGATTCAAACATAATACATTCCAAAATCTTAACAAATAGAATTTATTTAAACTCGTACGATGACAATATATAGCTTGTTTAAACTAAGTGGAATCTTAAGGTACTCAAACATAGTCAGTAAAAGTTTTGTAATGGATTCCATGTACTAAGGCACTAAATCTACGTTAATGAAAGTGAATGGATTATAACAGCAATGTTATGTTCATTTTCAGTACGAAATCTAGAATACTGAAGTGGTCAACAGGATGACCATTCTATGCTACCGAATTGGCTTGGAGTGGGTGGCACTTTTGCTGGCCTTAATTATGAGCACCACATTTTTGCTAACGTAAGTTAAATCGTAAAATAGATATTTATCGATATAGTCATTTTAATTACATCATTCCCAAGATCTTTGAAAGTTTTTAAGCAAGTTACTGCCCAACCAGTGAAAGTAAAAAGATTTTCCACTTTTCCAGACTGATATGAGTCAAATACTTATCATAACTTGAATGAATAATTTGTCCAAGACCGAAGTATTATTTTACTTATGAATTCTTTGTTTAGTGTATTTTTGAAGAATTTCAATAAAAGGGCTAAAACACAGAGATAATTTGCTGAAATAAGTCAGATTTTGTTTAGTGCTTAAGTTACTTTACTTTTATGTCGATTCTCGCATAAAGAAAGATAAAACTACACTCATTAATTATAATAATGAGAAGTCATACCGCTTTACATAGTGAATAAGACATTGATTCTATCCAGTCATTGTTTACACCAAAATATCTGTGACATTTCTTCTTCTTATCGGTACAGTCCGTTTATCGAATTACATAGTTTATTTCTAAGAATTTCGTATTCATTATTATTAGCTATAAAGGTAATAATCAGCTGTTTTTGAGTATTCGTATAGTGTTTACTTACAATGATCAGATGACCATCTTGCGTACTTGGAGAAAGTTATTCATTGACAGCAGCACCGAACCACATTCATTTATGCATTTGCCGAAAAATTTAGGTTATTACAACTGAGAAATCGAATTTTTCTAAAGGTAGTGAAAATACTGATTACAAAATTTAGCACTACAAGTGGTGTTTTCATGTCACCTCAAGTATGTCGGTGTTAAAATCAGTTTCCACTGGAAGTTTTAGTAATATCTAAATAAACTGTCGGTAACATGCATTTCTTAACTTTATGATTTAGAAACTTGAATTGTTTGTTGTCAGTCTTAATCCTTTCTCTTTATTAACAAGGGATAGACAGTTAACTATCCATGAAACAAATCAAATTTTTCCATATAAGAGAACAGGTTTCGTAACAAGCTGAAATCACTGAGCGAGAGACTAAGCGTTGAATAGGGTATTCCTTGTTTAAACCTGTTTGGCTTAGAGCAAGGAATAATTCTGAGAACACAATACGCTACCATATGAATATTTTATGTGAAAAGTTGTTTACAAGTATGTAATTGTTATAATGTGTTATCGGTTTGCACTAGGAATTCTTGTAAATTATGTGAAATGCAGTTAGGTATGGAGTAGTCACAGCAGTCGCCATCACTTTGATGGGCTCAGCATGGATTCCAAAAAATGAAGATTTATCGATAATTTTCATAAATCGAAATTAATGAAACAACTAACTTTAGTATGAGATTGAAGTCAGCCACCTTTTACAGAAAGCGATTTACGTGGAAAAAAAGAATAGCGCAAAACATGCGTTATCCAAATACATCAACTAAAGTCTTTCTTTATTAAAACTCTGAGTAGTTAGATACTGTTGAATGGAAGTGGTCTATGGAAGCTAATTGGAAGAGGTTGATATTCATGTGACGCTGAATTTCAAATTGTAGGTTAGATAGTGACATCATGGAAAAATACTTCCTTGACGGGTTGAAAATCACTCATGTCAAATGGTAGCGTATGCTTGCTAGATTGAACTGATTTAAATACTGGATGTCTGTTTAGCTCATTTTAGACCTAACTCATCAGCAACGTATCATGGCTGATTCGAATCAGAAGGCAGGATCAGTTCACATCACCCGAGTTCTAGTAATCCACTTGGGCGAACTCGTCATTTGTAACCTACACAGTTCTACGTGAGGATTTACCATAGTTTTCTTCTGGAAGCCAAAAATATTACAACTAGTCATATCAACCAATAGTACATACCATCATACTATCTTATTTGCTGTCTTGTTTACCATTTTTGATATCATGTGGGTCACATATCATGATTCGAGTGTTTTTGGATTATCAAGGAAACTGAGGTCAGTTACCACCCCGAACTGTTTCATTTGCAAATGACTAATTTGATTCTGCGGGCTAAATTGTCAATCTGATAATGTGGTATCCAGTTTGTCGTGCAGAATTATGTATGTATCACTGTGAAGCAGAAATTTTCTTTATATTTAATTGTTTCCTAGTAGATAACTGTTTGTCACAAAATAAATGTCACTCTGTATCAAACGTTTGCGAAATTTAACATCTTAATATTCTATATCTCTATGCAGTTATGGATTGAATGAGTATTTATATACATCACTGGTTTGTCACCGAATAATCATTTTCATTAAAATGAGAGTGTAGACTTTGACTCTACTCTACATGATCAATAATATGAGGTTTGAGCCTACATGATAGGCTACATAGGATAACTGCTAGAAGATTTTGTAATGACAGACAATTTAAAATCTATCAGGTACAGTAAGTAAAGGCATTCTTTTGTTTCCAGACAAAAAGCCGCAAAAAAGACATTTACATCAACAGTAAACTTAAAAATTTATTAAGTACACATCTGTAGATGGCGCATTTCATGGAAAGATGTCTAAGTTATTTCTTATATCGTTCTTGACATTCTGAGTTTATAGTGATGAAATGCCTACAGAAACAAAACGAACTTGTGTCCTGTTCCGATAAATTGGATTTTTAGATTTCAGCATTGAACTGCATCAATCTTTTTAGTTATATCTGACAGAATCTTACTCTCCTCTTAATTTAGATATTATATTTCGGTATATAGAGGACATGTGAATGCGGAGTTGCCATTCATCAGGTAGGTGAATGTATATGTGTGTTGGTTTTTCTAATTATTCAGGTGTGAGCTTGTGCATAAACTCTAATATTATACGAGATTTATCTTCAAATGCATTTTCCTAGAAGTTAGAATATGTCAGAGGTAATTTGTGTAAAAAAGATTAAAAACTGAACAGAATCCAAATGGAAAAATAGTCACTAATTACACAATACAGATTCATTCTGAGATAAATTCCTCTGGCTGTATCGGCGAATAGTTCAGGAATTAACCTTTCATTACCTGGTCATTCCGAATGACAGGATGACGTGGAAGAAAAAGTGACTATGTGAGGAGTAGGTGACAAGGACGATCACTTAAAACACTTCATTGAATGTGGACTGTTGATATAGAAAATTTAAAGGAAAGAGTTGAAAGAAAATGGTATAAAGCAAAAAGAAGAATAAGGGAAAGGGATAGTGTTTATAATTTCAGTTTGTTCCAGGGTGATTGCACACTTGAAATAATATTTTACTTAACCTCAAAACATTTTTGTATTGCTTCTATTTGTATTACTAGTTAGGATATATGAGTCCAATAAACATTAGTGATCCGAGGCATTAATCTGACTTGAATGATGAAAGTTGTTCAGAACAGTGTTAGTAAATCATACATTGGCTTAAAGCAGAAATTTCACATTATCTCAGAAGTAGAAGGACTATTGCTAGTGGTGAGGGTTAATTAGATTGCCTATTAAAACTCTATTCAGTAAGAGAACTAATAGTCTTTTTTCCACGAGGTAGGACTAATCTCAAATCTGAGTGAAAATAATTGATTTACTCATACCATCTATTGTTCAAGAAGAATATGAAGTGCGAGATTTACAGACGCAATACAGAAATATATATTTATGGTGTACATTTAATCAGTTTGAATTCAAGAGGCATTCAAAAGCTTTTCCAAAGTACCTTCTCAATAAACTCTCCTTATTTTCTACTATAAACTAAAACAATTATTCGTTGTTAATGGAATTAGCAAAGCTATACCAAGTTGCTGTGTATGGTTAAACTTTATTCAGAGGTGATATTAATTTTGAATAGCTGTAGAGCGAGTTGTTTTAGATAGTCCAAAAAAATACCAAGTTAAACCCTGACAACTCTTCTAACATCAATAAAAGTTAGTGATTAAAAGTTTGTCTACTCATCAGACTGCTTTAGTTAAACTGATACCATTCTGAAGAATAGAAGCATCGTAGATCTCTTAGCTAAGTAGCATCAATCTGCACTATCTTTTTCGTGCTGATTTTATCTAAAGTATGAAAATCAAGTCGCAAATGTTACTGATAACCAGAGGAGCACTATAAAAAGATTATATTTACCTCAAGACACAGAATCATAGTGGAGTTATACTCTATCACAGTGCCCAAGTTTTATACTTATATCGATTATTTACTGAATTAGTGCAGAATATATTTTAATAAGGGATCTGAATATTAAGGGTGATTAATGATCTAATGTCGTTATTTATTTAGTTATAGTTTCTATAGTTTCTTGATTGAAAAATACATCTTGGTATAATTCTGAATCATTATACACACTCACACCTATTATTTAATTGATTCTCGTTACGTATTTGTCTGAAGCTGTTTCATGTATAACACTCATGCAGGGTTTTTAAGTGTCAAACTTTCGAAAGTCTTATACTCAACCAAAAAGACTAAATAATCTCTGGTTATTGTAGATTAGATATCAATAGCTAGTTTGATCGAAATCAGTTGGACATATCCAGCTCAAACTTAGTGTTAACTGGTTAGTCCAAAGGAAAATCATTCGAACGTAAACAAGCCTTATAGCATCAGCAAAAAGCATAAATTCAAACGAAATCAAGACATATTTCGTAAAGTATTTCTGTTTGGTGAAATAGAGTCAACAGATCGAATTAAAGTGATCCCAAAATACTTATTTCAAACCAAACGCTAACCAACAACTGAACAATGTTTTCTTTCGGAAACTTCTAAAAGGAATTTAATCCATCCATGTTCTACAAACACTAACTAACTTCAAGGTAAACGGATTAAATAGGAAGAAACAGAAGACCTTCACATTTTATTTTTGTGCGCATAATGGTGTCGTTTCGCTTTCTCATGTAGCACTAACAATAAAGTTCAGCACGACTAAGACAAATCTACTAATAGAAACAGCAGCTAGGGGAAATTTCCATGTTATAATGGCCAGAGAAATACACATTGGAAAAAAGAAGGATTCATGGGAATTCAAAATTCTACTCTTGATAAACCATTCAGTTTTATTTCTGTTAATAAATGTCGGTGGTGTATATCCGTCTTTCGAGGATGATGTGCGCAAGTATAGAAAGAGGCCGAGTTATATACATATGTATATATATTTATATATATTACACGTTGTTAGACTTTTATCCTTTTATGTTCATAATAGTGTGCGTCGGTGGCACAACGGTTAGGACGTTCGGCGACCATGCACATGATCCGGGGTTCGATCCTTCGCCGACGCACTCCTTGACCTTGCTAAGCCAGTAATAAAGCTGGTAAAGAGGAAAGTTGGCCATGAGGCTAGCAACCCCATCCCGTAAAAATAACCACCACTGCTACAGAAAAATCAAGCCTCTAGCTTGAAGCTCTATGTTCCACTGGGAACGTGAAGGAATAAAAAAATTTAAAAAATGTTCATAATAACCACTTAAATAAGAATCGGGAAAATCAGACAGTAATTATCCTTATTCGGTGTAGTAAATTTTTATCTCATAAATTCGATGAATCAGTTTCAATGAAACTTTAGTCCATCGTATTCAACAGCTTATATCGTTCACCACTGAAATCAGCAAAGATTTCAGCCAAACAACAATAAATTTTACTTAAAAGTAAAACTACATTCAAAAATATTTCCAAACTCATCACGAATAGTGAGTAGAAGACTGGATTTATCTATATTTCATACATAAAACACTAAATTCTATTAGATAATAGTTTCCCTATCCCATAGAAAAATAAGAAAATTCAGACTATATTTTTATACGTATTAGTCGATCACATCGAGACGGAGACCACTAAAATGGAATTTTCAATAAGTCCATCTTGACTTTTCAGTTGAATAAAGTATATATTTCTTCTAGTTTTTTTAAAGAAGAAATTAATATTCCACGTCGTAATGATGGTGGCTAATTAGAAACACACTGTTCAATATTGACGGAGTTAAGTGTTATGAATTTATGCATCCTGTGAATTGTTTAAGTGAAGCCTTTTCAAATTCCACTTAGTATTTATTCAACACCACTAATTAATAGATAAGCTTCGATCAAATCTCCTTAATAATGGTTATCCTACAAGGTTTATCGAACGTAACATCAAGAAAGAACACGCCCCAGACAAATTACAGTGCCGAAGAAGAAACTGTTTATGAGTCTGGCATTCAAAGGTGACACCATTTCGGAATTGATTAAAAATCGTTTATCTAAATGTATTAAACGTACTTTTCCTGCAGCTGACTTACAACTAGTTTTTACCAGCCGAAATATGATTAGACAATGCGTCAAGGATAGATTACCGCTTTTGTCCACATCCATGTGTATTTACTCTTTTACCTGCTCTTGTGGAGCTGTTTATATTGGACGTTGTAAGCGTAATCTCCGAAAACGTGTAGCTGAACACTATCCAGTCTGGTTAATGAAAGGCGAACGTAGAACTGCGAAGTCGTCTATCTGTGATCACCTGTTAGAGTCAGGTCATTTAGCCCCACGTGATTCATCTTTCGAAGCTATCTACATGGCAAAATCGAAGAAATTCAATAGACTGAATGGGAAGAGTTCCATCCCTCACTATCTCATTGATGAGATTTTGAATAATTCACATTCGGTTAATATCTCTCTGTGCATGTGCTGGTAGGGAATTCGTTAATCTGACTTTGATTTTCAACGGTGTATTTTTCGGCACTCCAGAAAATGATATTTATGTTTCTCATGTATAAATAAATTACTTCCATAGAATTGTAATGTCAACAGACAATAACAATCAGTTTTTTGGGTGTGTTGAAGTTCGACAGCCAGTGGGAATACTTAAGTGTGATAATATTGGTGTTTGTGATTGTGAGGTTAACCTTGATTTATTTATTAATTAATTCGTATATTTAATTAATCTGTTACTCGTAGTCGCATGCACCAATATTACATCACTTTGGCATTTCCACTCAGTCAAACTTTAACAGATACAAGAAAACCGATTGTTATTGTCGATTGTAATTCAGATATAATATATAAATATATATATACGTTTGTACAGCTGTGAAAATGAAATCTTCGGAAAGAGAATATTCTTCGCAGAATTCTTTGTTACAATTTCAATATAGTCAGGATTCAAAAGCCAGCCTATAGCTGTTACGCTGGCGTGGTGACTGGGATTACCTATCGAAATGGCGCAACAAGCTACACTGTTTCGAACTAGTGTCCCTGTAAGCGCTGCCATGCCAGAAAGGTCACTTGGATAGCAGTGTAAGTTGTTTGCACTATGTTGCAGGGTTCGCAGGTGAAGTCGTACCGCCGGTGAATACTGGATGTGACAGAAGTGAAGTGTTTCTCTCTGATGACCTGCAGGTCAGGTGTGCTGCCTCTCAGCTCAAGGGATAGGGGGATGGAAAAGGTCTATCACGAGGACTGTACATCTCGACTTACGTTGTGGTGGTCCATAGCCGGCAAGAAGAATCTATTACAAACGCAAATTCATAAACCACTTCAAACAGACCGTGTGTGATAGGCCTCAAACAGTTGTCTCTTGGGCTCTGTTGTCTCACAACACTAATGCTTCTTCTGTTCTCAGGTATCCCAAGTCAGTCAGTCAATAGTTTAAAATAATTATAATGGTGATTTATCATTTAAAATATTTCTGAAGCGTAATCAAAAATATACAATAATATTTTTGACCAAATTCTGTAACCAACATTTTATTTTTATTTTTACTATCAGTTCTACAGGTGCTTATCCACCAGAAAGCTGCATATTTGCAGAGGGTTTAAACCTTGCTGCCTTTCTGAGTAAGTGCCATTTTATTAACTATTGAAGAATTTATCATAACTCATGCGTACATTAACTTCTTTTGAAGAGTATTTGAATTTTCCGTATCTCATTTCCATTTCTTGTAGGGGCTATTGTGTACGACCTAGGCGTAAATCTAAAAATCAAAACAGAGTGATTTAGTATATTCAGCTTTTATTTAATTGTTTCTACAATATTTTATTCACTTTTTACTTGATATTTAATACTTTCCATCCTCATTTGATAGAGCCTTAAGCTGATCAGGAACTGAGTTTTGTAAAGTTCTTGTTGACAAATGGAAGTGAAGACTAGTACTGTTATGACAAGGTGGTAGTTCAGTAAGCTTTGGAATCTTTTATTATTATAACTAGTTTATCAGTCTAGAGTACATCTGGAAGAATAGGGTACATCGGGCGTGAAGCTGGTAGCACCATCCAGTAAAAACAACACCAGTGCCACGGAAAATTTTAAAAACAGAAAGCTCGAAGTCCAATATTCCACTCAGGAAGCAAGGAATGAAAAAGAAGGGTTATTAGGTAGAATGTATTCTAAATTGAAAGCTATCGGTAATATTTTCGCGCTAAAGAACATCTTCCACTATGGCTAAGTAAAGGTATAGTGAAAACCATTAACAGTTCAATAATGGACTATCTGGTGCAACCCGGTCACAAAGCCAACGTGGAAGAATCCTTTTCTATAATCTACTGGGTGCCTAATAAATTGCCAAAATCGTCGAAGCACTGCATTATCCAAATAGCAGAGGCTATTGCAATTCGCTTCAAACAACCAGTGCTCTGTGTCCGAAAGAAGCAAGTCCAGCCCCTACTACAGCCCTGGCCTTCAGTAGAGACTATAAATTCATGAATTTGTAATATTATCTTTCCTAATTTTTCTGACATTCAGCTTATTGTTATGTTGATGCTATTGAGCTGCAGTCTATCAGTATTATTGATTTGATGTTATTTAAACATGAATGTTGTTCGTAACACTAATTAAATCATTCACTATAATGTGTATATATAACTGTAGAGCCTGATGTTGAAAATTTTTGGAAGTGATTTCAAAGTTCAGTTCACAACAACTGATTGAGTATAACCCATATAGTTCATCAGTTAAGACATTTACCACAGCTGATTCATTTTTTTCCTTTCACGTTCCCAGTGGAACATAGGGCTTCAAGTTAGAGGTTTGAAGTTTCTGTAGCAGTGGTGATTATTTTTACAGGATGGGGTTGCTAGCCTCATGCCCAACCTTTCCTCTTTACCAGCATTATTTCTGGCTTAGCGAGGTAAAGGAGTGCGTTGGCCGGGGATCGAATCCCGGACAATGTGCATGGTCGGTGAGCGTCCTAATCGCTATACCACCGACTCTGATTCATTACGTTTATAATTTCAGCTATTTATGTGGCCGTGCTGAAAGTTTTTTTTTTATCCTTCACGTTCCCCAGTGGAGCATAGGGCTTCAAGCTAGTGGCTTGAAGTTTCTTTAGCAGTGTTTATTTTACAGGATGGGGTTGCTAGCCTCATGCCCAACCTTTCCTCTTTACCAGCATTATTTCTAGCTAAGCGAGGTAAAGGAGTGCGTCGGCCGGGGTTCGAACCCTAGACCATGTGCATGGTCGGCGAGCGTCCTAACCGCTATGCCACCGACGCACACACAAAGTTACACATAGTAAACATCATCAGGCTTTATTATCAAGCAAATATGAATGGTGCTCATTTGCAGTAACTCAGGCACACAACAGGAACATTTTAAGAAGTCGGTTCAAAAAAGTATGCGAAATTTTCAGACAATAGTGTTACTTCTCTTAGGTCGCGAGTGATGATTTTTCTCATTACTTGAAATAAATTAACAACAAACGAAAAGAAATGCTTTATTTTCCTTTGCAATACTGTTTTTATTTTTTCTCTTTTCTTTTCTATAAGGTACACCTGTTTCACTTTACTTAGGTTTATTTGTTATCCACATTTATAGGAAGATGTAGGATAAAAGCGACTGAAATGTGAAATGTTTCAGTTCATAGTTGTTTAGTTATAAGGTAGGACATCATTAAATGACTATGTATTACTTTATTTCTGTAAATCTTACACCTGATTTGCACATTAATTCCACAGACTAAGAGAAATATTCACAAACATAAAATCAAGATGACTGATTTGACTGATTTAACTGCTCGTTATGTCCTTCATTAATTCTTATTTTCATTCCTATAGTAAACAGATAACTAGAGCAAAGATCGAATACAATAACAAGGTTATACGTATTCAGTTAGACGTAGACATGATATTCGGCTATCAATCAAAGAACATGCGTACTGATCAGCAGTCCGCTCCGCCCTCCTATATTGCCATGAGGCATGACCACCAGTATAAGTGAAGGACATGAAAAGGTTAGCTGTCTTTGATCGTAGACGTCTCTGTCCTGTCTCTCATGTTATATGGTGCAATAGAATGACTAATATTAAGGTTAGGCGTAATGCTGCGTGAGGAGGGTAAGTCCGCTTTTTGAGGCTGTGAAGGTGAATCAACTGAAGTGGCTACAACGTGTGCTCCACATGCCTAGCCATCGCTTTCTTTGAGAGGCAATATTAGCTGATATAGGATCAGGTTGGAAAAGAATTAAAGGTGATCAAACCAGAATGTGGCATCAGTACAGGAAGTCTTTGATGGTCACTTTTAGCCATACAGAAAGGTGTAGGTTGACAGTTTATGGTCCACAAGATGCTAAGATCTAATGGTTTGAGATTGTTGGTAATGTAACTGAAAATCGTCCTCACTGGCGCAGATCCATTCACCCATAGTTATGGTAACTGATTTCTCCTGGTATCGTATCTATTTGGTATGTGAGTAAAAAGAAACATGAGCCGTCAATTCGCTGCTTTCAATGACTGAATTAAAAAATTTGGAAAAAATGAATCTTCATTAATATATATATATATTTATATATAATCTACAGAATTCTGTCCATGTATACACCAAAATATCAGCAAAAAAGTGCAAAACCGTTATATGCCGATAACTTTTCACCTTTGCAGCTCTGATAAATTTGCCGCATCAAATTAAACATGCTATTTATTTTGAATTTACAAGGCTCAAATCTTATTCTGTTGACCAATGACTACGTGATTCCCTTCCTCTGTGTTTACTTTTATGGTAAAATCGATATCAATCGATATAACTCGTTAAAGGTAGATATATTCGATACGTCTTTAAACAAAACCTGATAACAGAGGAGTTTTTTTAACTAGGTTGAATCAATATCGCGAAATACTAATGATGAGCTATGCATTTTTTTCTATTATTCTCAAAATTAATCTAAATGCTTCAGTTATTTCGTCATAATAAGTTTACAGAACGTCTTGCTCATTCTAAATTAACAGATAAAACATACTTTTATTGAATTCCTATGACGTTATAGTGTGTAATTTATCAGCCAGCCTACGTAGACATTTTTTTCTTGAAAATCACATAAACTAGTGTGGATTCCTATCGTCTCTTGACTTTCGCTAGACATAATTTATAGCTGTCAAGTTAAAACCTAATTGTTATGCAAGCGAATAGTTTAAAGCAACAAAGAATACATGTAAAAAGTATTCTGTTTAATACTCACACTCAAACCTACCTACCTACTTACCTGCGAAAATACTTAGAGTAATTACTTTTAGTTCCACATATATCGACACAAAATGTCTGATGCACAAATGTGAAACGTGTTTGAGTCATATGATGTAGTGATGACAAACGCTTTTTTGTTTAATAAACGCATAACTTTACCTAACCAATTAATCTGTATTTTTTAAGTTTTTAAATTGTGTACCTTAATAATTTCATAACACAGTTGGGTCTCTTTAGTTTGGTGATAATGTTCTTTCATTAGTTGCTTTGTAGGAACTAGATTTGTCTGTACAAGAGAACCAATGAAAACCAGAGAGTACTGGACAGCTGTTTCATCCTAGTTTGGGAATCATCGGCAGTACGGATGAAACAACTGTCCAGTACTTCCTCGTTTTAAATGGTTCTCTAACTGATAACAATACGTGATCAACTCGAAAAAACAAAATGTATTTACTTGAATAAATTCCAAGTAACAAAGTGATGTATTCATTTACACCTAGCTAGCTAGCTATAGTATTGAATATATAGACACACTTATTGTGGACGCCTTGCATTTATGTTATTACAACTATTATTCCCTTGGCTTCCAAGTGAAACACAGAACTTCAACAGCACACCTCAGTTTCATTCTGCTGTCTGCCCCACGATTGCCCATAAGCTCTCATCTTATCCTCATACAATCTCCTCCATGTCACTCTTGGACGGCCAACTCGTCTTTTCCCTTGAGAATCCCATTCGACGGTCTGCCACACATTGTCACTCAGTAGTCTCCACAGAATATATCCAATCCATCTCCATTTTCTTCGATATATTTGTTGGGCAATAGATTCCTGGTCGGTTCGTTGCCAGAGTTTCTTGTTGCATATCGTTTCAAGCCGGCAATCTGGCCTTCAGTGTAGAGCAAAGGCAGTTGTTGATAAAAGTCTGAAGCATGTTCTGAATGCTTCTGGTGAATCGCAAAGTCTCTGGACCATAAGGAAAAACTGAATTGACATTAGTGCTGAAAATCCGAATATTGTTCTTTATGCTGGGTGTAGCATTTACTGAACACAAATTAAACTAAATAACTCCTCTTTTCAAAAATCCAGAACAAACGTAGACGACATGTCGCAATTCGCAACTGCATAATCGTTCGGTTTGTTTCAGTTGACACTGACTGTTTAAGATGAAAGTTAATACAAGGGTGTAGTTGGGCGGACAAAATAATACACAGTCTTGTAATTATAATTTTATTAGTACTAAGGTGTCAGCTTTTCAACATGTTTCAGATATGGCGTACCACCAAGCTAGTTAATAAATAACTTGTGAATTAACCTCAGTCATCAAATGCAAACCGATTTTATTTGACTATATATATTTGCTTCAAGATACACAGGCTTCATTCTCACGGGAATTAATCAATCCGCTCAAATTTCGGGTTATATTCCTAATGGTGGTAATCGTTTTTGACTCAATAGGCTAGATGAGAGAAACGTTGAATACAGCTGTCTTAGATATTTGCCTAGTGTTTATTTTTATTGTCTAATTAAATCAATGAATCTGATTTTAACATTTCTTTTGACTAAGTAAATTAACTGACTATTTTTGATTGGACACTAGTCAATAACTAGTGGAATGCGTGTGTCTGTGTGTCCAGTACAATCTTTGGTGCAGACTGAATTCTACCAGTCAAGTTTGCAGTGTGGCCACCCATGCTAGGTGGCTGGCCGTCATGGTACACTGTGAATTGTTGATATTAGATGTTTGGAGGTAATCGGCAGGAAGCCCAGCCTTCGAACTAGGTTTCTTGCTAGTTGGCACTCACCAGTCAGCAAGGCGTCTCTGCAACCTTGAAGGAACTCATGTCCCTTCTGAGATTCGAACCCACGTCACCCAAAGAGTTCTGCAGTCAGAGGTGTTACCACTGAGCTACTCTTCCCCGCGACTGACCTCCTGTAGGACTGTATTGGTTACGACTTAGTAACTGGTGTAATGTGCCTGTCTTATATCAACTATTCAAAGTGCACCATGATGGCGAGCCATCTAGAATGTTGGCCACATTGTCAATGTGGCTGATAGAATTCAGTCTGCATCAAACCAAGGATTAGACACCTTACACTAGTTAATAGTGTCCCATCAAAGTTCCCACTAGAGTTCTACAGGAAGTCAAACGCGAGCAGGAATAGCTCAGTGGTAACACCTATGACTGCATTACTGAGTGACGCAGGTTAGAATCTCAGAAGGGACATGAGTTCCTTCAAGGTTGCAGATACGCCTTGCCAACTAGAACGAAACCTAGTTCGAAGGCTGAGCTTCGTGCCGACTGCGTCCAATCATCTAATACTAATAAATAAACTGACTTTCAGAAGCTTCAACTTGGAAAACTAGTGACATCATGTATCAACTAATATAATGTTCATTCACTATTAATTTTCCATTCTGATGCCTTGTGTTACAGGTTCATTGTGTGCCTTCTTTTGGTATCTGATTGCGTTGGATAGAACAAAATTCATGGGCATACACCAACCGACATGTTTACTTAAATTTATGACCATACTATCTTTAATAGCTGGAATCGGATTAACTATGGTGGGCAACTTCCAAGTAAGCTTGTACATATCAATAATATTTGTGATCTTACATATTTATGCAACCGTACGCCTAAGAATTTCGATTAGAAGAAGACCATTTAATAACTTTAAAGTTTAACTAATAAATTTCTCTCAATTTTTTCTCTTTTTTATGTTCAATCTTTCACTTACACAATAACACAAAATGTACTTAGTCTAATGGTAATTTAAATGAGAATTGAAGAGTGCTATGAATTTACCTTCCTTCATTCTTTTTTCTACTTAAGCTGAGAAATATCTTATTGATATTTATGTATGATAATGAATTAAAGTGAGTGGACAGAATGAGTGGGAAGTCGTAATCCAAGGTAGATTATTTGATTTAACAACAATGTAATGTAATGATGAATTGCTTTTAACTTAGGAAGATGGAAAAGTTTAGAAGTGAGAATAACCGCAAGTGTACAACAGCACAGATATGAAAATAAAATGAAGAGGAGTGTTTAATTGCATAAGATACTTAGAAAGGTGAACAAAACACTGGGCCTAAATGAAATGTGTTTTTAAACTACGGGAAATTTGGTAGAAAACTTAATTACTAGAACATCGTGTAAAAGTTTAATAGTAATTCAACTTGCAGTTAGAATATGTTATCTGTTTCCATTTGTCTTTAAAATGAAACCCACAGTTGAATATGCTGGAAAATTGCATTGAGTAGCAGTGAAAAATCATGTGGTATGCGTTTTGTATCAAAGAAATAAGAATGGGACTTGGGCACTGTGGTAGAGTATAATTCCATTATGGAAGAAATTTTATTTTTGTAAAGTCTCACAGTGTTACACAGTAATATTTACTGATGATGTTTTGAACACAATTTATCGCTTTGTAATGAGGAGGTCCTGGGTTCATAAACCACTGAGTGCATACATACTTTGTTCTGCTTTCGAATGATCGCTGATTGGTTGGGAAGGATAGCACTACTATGCAATGGCACCATAACCTGTATCACGTATATCCATTTGGCTGTGCTGAAACAGCCATGTATTTGTGATGCAGAATAAAACTCACTAATTAACATTTAACACTTTTGTCTGATGACATGATTACTAAATAATTAATACAGTTTCCCAACAGTTCAACTACACTCTTTTTTTATTTTCAGCAAGTTAACGTTGAATTAGTGCATGATATTGGAGCTGCAATGGCGTTTTATGGGACAACTTTATACATTTTCCTATGTGCTTATGTAAGCAGTCGATATCTTAAAACACATTGGTGCATATGGATATTGAGATTACTGTTGGGTGTAGGATCAGCAATAGCAACAGTACTCTGTAAGTTGCGTAATTTTTGTCTAATTGATGAGTGCTTTCTATTCTGCTTGTATGAAATCAGCAGCATATTCTGATTACGCCATGAAACTTATCTTCAGGTACATACATCTGCAACACCAAAAGCCTATAGGTAAATTAGTTTCCTAAAGATTATAAGAAGTAATCTATGTAGGTGGAGAGAGATTGATTATTGAATCCTGGTTCTTTGAATCTACACCCAACACACACAACAAAAATGACTCAATGTAAATACCAGAGATATGGAAGATATTATTACCACCAGTCAGATCAGAAAAGGATAATAAATAATCTCAGAATTCTATTTCAATTCAAGCACATAACAACATTCTAACAAGTTACCTATTATGACTATAAAAACACTCGTCTTATTTCCCATCTGATTGTAATTGATCAATAACACTCGTATTATTATTTCTCAATGTACATTATCCTATATTGATTTTTATTCAAATATCTAGTCAATTCCACACATGTATATAAATGAAGGAGAAAAGTTGTATGAGTAACTTGATATGATTATGAGCAATAGTTTGTGCTCGAAACATGGTCATCAGTCAATAGTACTCTATAACACTGTTTCAGAGGTATCTGCCAGCTCTCTGTATGAAACAATCTTGAGATTGTACAAAATTAATTTGATGCGTGGTCAATGTCGGTCAACATCTGCCAGTCAGATTTTCATTATAGTCAATAGACTAAATGACACGACTGTGCTACACACAGTTATATATATTTTTTCTCGTGATTCAACTTGTAAGTTCTTATCTGAAAGAAAAATGTGGATTCCATCCAGGCGTTTGGGACATCTTGTTACCAACTAACAGAAGCACAAATAAGACCTAAGTCAAAGAGGACTTGCTTTTAAGTGGTTTAATGACCACACTGTATTCCTGATCAACAGACTGACATGAACATTTAAAGCTGAATAACTAAATTTTGTTTGAGTTTGGTGAACACTTTGTATACATTATTGATATAAGGATAAAACTTGGGTACCATAGTAGAGTATAACTCTATTATGGATAAAATCTTATTTTGATAAAGTCTCCCGGAGTTACACAGTAATATTCACTGATGACCACGTTTCGAGCACAAATTATTACTGCTCATAATCACATCAAGACACTACTCACACAACTTTCTTGCTTCATTTATATACATGAGTGAAAATTGATGATTAGACTTTAGAGAAATCAATATAATTTGCAAGTATTGGTTTTGTAGGGATTTGGTTTGATTGCATGGAGGGTTTCATCATGAGCTGACATCAGTTAGAGAACCACTGGAAAACCAGCTGGGAGTACTGGACAGCTGTTTCGTCCTAGTTTGGGACTCTTCAGCAGTACGTGCCCAACGGGATTCGAACCCAGGACCTTCTGGTTACGAGGCGAGCTCGTAGACCATTGAGCCACTGGGACGAAACAGCTGTCCAGTACTCCCAGCTGGTTTTCCAGTGGTTCTCTAACTGATGTCAGCTCATGATGAAACCCTCCATGCAATCAAACCAAATCCCTACAAAACCAATACTTGCAAATTAATCTGATGCTCACTAGTGACTGGCCCTATTCAGGCAGTTAACCTGGGGTTCTAGTGCGAAGCCGTGACCAGTAGGGTACAGCAGGTCGAAGATGAGGACAGTTACTCACGAAGAAGACATTGCGAAATGGTCGCGCTATGTCGTGAATTGGCAGAAGTTAGAATTCAAGGACCATTGGATCGGGTCCCAGTGGCTCAATGGTCTACGAGCTCGCCTCGTAACCAGAAGGTCCTGGGTTCGAATCCTATTGGGCGCGTACTGCTGAAGAGTCCCAAACTAGGACGAAACAGCTGTCCAGTACTCCCAGCTGGTTTTCCAGTGGTTCTCTAACTGATGTCAGCTCATGATGAAACCCTCCATGCAATCAAACCAAATCCCTACAAAACCAATACTTGCAAATCAATAAAAGATGAAGTACATTCGGAAATAATAATATTAGTGTTATCAATAAAATACACCAAGATTGGGAATAAGATGTTTTTATAGTAAAATAAATAACTTGTTACAATGTGAATTGAATACATTTTAACATTATTTATTATCCTCTGATTTGACTAGTGGTAATAATATCCTCCATATCTCTGGTATTTGCATTGATTCACTTCAATAGCATGTATTGGGTGTAGACTCGATGAACCAGGATTCAGTAATCAATCTCTCTCTCTACATCTACCTACTTATATTACGTTTTAGAATTTTGACTCTGTCCCACCCGATTTTTGTGGTTGTGTGTTAACGCAGCAGCGATATTGCTGAGTTACTTCCTATATGGTCGGCCTGCAAAATTGGGCTACCGATATCACATGCTGAAAATTCCATACTTGTACCAAAAATACGGTGTGGAATCAAGCTATAATAAATAAAAAAATAAAAAATAAAATAAAAAATAGCTTAGCTTCGTGAGATCAATAATTCTAACCTTAGCTAAATTCTTATGTTCTGATAATCTGACTACTCCTGATCCACTAGTCAGACCTATGTAGTTGAAATCAAAACAAGATTTTGAGCGAACAATTGTTTTCGATAACTTCTTCTTCGGGCTCTACAGTTATAAATCCATGAATAATAGAGTACATATAGCCAATAAAGGCAAATGAAAATAATATCGGAAACTGTATTGGGGTGCATGTGTAATTTAAGATGATAGTCCATTAGTTAACATAATCAATCAAATGTGTATAGGGTGTATAGTCAGAAAAATGTGATGAAGTGTGAATAAACAATTGGGTGATATAGTGGTGTTTTATAGTCAACAGAATACAAGTGTCATTGGGGTGAGAGAAATGCGATAGCCACAAAATACATACAAACACACATTAACAAAGGGGACACTGAATGTGAGGGCTGACCGATAATGTCTAATGATAAAATAAAGAGGCTAAATTGTAAATTGTAATAAGATGTTACAGAGTTGGTAGGCTTAATGTAAAATCACAAAGATTGACAAAATTAAGGGTAACAATGAGGTGAAATAAACTGGGTGGAGAAATGGATAAGAAAGACATGATATCACAGAATGATAATAATGGTAATAATAATACGGAAAATTATGACCCTGGTGACCTTATAGTGTAGTAGTAGTTGACTTAACTCACAGTCATTGCAAAGTGTCTTGTACATTATATTACTATGTTCAATTGGGTCCACCGCATCCTTTAGCCTATAGAGCTTGTCTCTCAGTATACATCCTTCCTTTTGTTAAAAAAGCATTTTTTTAAACAGAATATATTAAATTTACTTCATTTTAATTTTATAGTGCATCATGTGAATAATTTAAATGTTATTTTATACTTATATCATGTAAAAAAGTAGAAGTATTAATATCTGATTATATGAATGGTTGATAAATCAAGAATGGACTTTGTAGAGAATTGCATCATTTCGATTTAACACAGTTCGAAGCACAATGCTGCATAGATAGGGCATAAATGATGTAATAATGAATAAATATTCATGGAATGGTTTTTGTGACATTATGGTTAAAAATTATATTCTTTACTCAACCTGATGTTTTTTCAAAGTCCAATCAATTGAAAATTTTGATTATTCAGTATTGTGAAACTAAAAACTTGTAAAACTGTCATTGTATAGCTGTTCACAATGAAATAACAAAGAGATATTTTCTTTTCTGAACTTCTTATTCACACGATAGTTACGTCTTAGTAACAAAGCATCTTCATGGTATTGCGATTTCAGCATAACTGCATTGACTTCATATTCATTTGAAGTTAGTGAATGCTGAATTACCACTGGAAAGTTACATTTAAGAAGAGGAACAGAGAAGAAACTCGCGCAGAATTACTCATTGGTGAAATATTGACCACCTTGCATTAAGAGTCTGCCACGTTTGTTACGGACTTTCCTGTATTCATTTTACGCTTTCCATATTTCCGACCCATTTTATTTAGTTCTAATCTTTCGACTGTTTATCACTTTTACCGAAGTTGTTAGACTGTAGGCTACACCCCAGTTTTTATCATTAGTACACAAGATATAGGCACTTATTAATTCCAATTTAAATAAACATGAAATTCCTATAAGCATTATGTGATCTATTTTCGGTAATTATGCTAAAACGTGTCTTAACGACTTTGCAGTGTTGAAGGCTTTGTAGCGGTAAATAATTCCTGAAAATTATTGACCACAGCACTCATCACTGAACATTGGATGTTGACCCTCACTGTTTAAGTCAGCTTGTCTAGCTGAAGGCTTCCGGTCAAGAATCCACGCCATTTGGTAATCCGTCATGTCACGTTCGTTCGTGCACGATCCCTAGCCAGCTAAGCAATCATCTCGCACTCCGATTTGGTCTCGTAATTTGGACGATCAATTATTTTGTTTTGCTTTGCCTTTGTTCTACGCGGAACGAATTCTATAGAAGTTGTGGGTATTAGATCTTGCATTAGTATACTTCGTACTATCCGTGAACGTCAATACCATCAGCCTCTAAAGCTTCAATTTTTTTATTCAAACTTTTCATTTCAGTCACAGTATGCCATTTATTCTCTCGAATTCATTTCAAAGGATCTCAAGAAGAATCCCTAACATATCGTCATCCAAAACAAGGTGTAAGTATTATTTTCACTAAAATAAACCTATTCTGTGAGTACATTTATGTGCAAATGAGATGTTTAGTGAAATAATTGTTTTGTATCACCCGTATACACTTGTGGTGAGAGCTGTGTGCTAGTCAAAATTGGTAGAAAGCAATTTACGTCAATATTTACGTCCAGTATCTTGGTTATGAGAAAAAACAAGAACAAAGACTAACTGAACAAACAGTCACATCAAACTTTGAGTGGGCGGATACGATTCGCAGATATATGGTCTGACCATCACAGAAACCGACACAGAGAGATGACAGAATAACTTACAGTGAGAAAACGACCAATCAGAAGACACTGTTTCTCTGCTAACGAATAATAATGTACATAAAAATCTATAAATACCTCTTGATTTTCTCAATAAATAATCTGTTGCCTGGCCCTATATTTAAAACAGTTAGTCCCTTTTATAAATTTTGACAGCACTATTAGAAGATGGAGATTATCTGAAAAATGTGATGTATTTGCACTATACATTTCGAACAATCTGATCACACATTTACTTGTCAAGTCAATATATATGGAAAAGTGACTACTTTGTGACTATATATCTTCTGGTTGTTTTTCATTTCCTTTTCCTTTAACTTATTTGAAAGATATATTACTATTATGTACTGACAACGTCCATTTCACGTTTGAAGGTGAACATTTTCGACAAGTGGATGGCGTTGCTATGGAGAGTCCATTAGGACCTTTGTTAGCGGACGTTTACATGTCTTATGTTGAAAACTTATCCTTTGATTTAATTTCTAAATTGCCTTTCTATAAGAGGTATGTAGACGATATCATTTTGATATGCGACGATCATGAAGATGCGAGTCGTCTCTTAGACAGACTTAATTCTGTACAGAATCATATTAGTCTTACATGCGAGGAAGAAAGTCGCAGCCAGCTCGCATATTTAGACATACTTCTGAGTCGAAGAGACGATGGCTCAATAAGACGGTCTATCTACAGAAAGCCCACTTGGACAGGGCAATACCTTAATTTTCACAGCTTTTGTCCATTACAGTATAAGAGAGGCTTGGTGAAGTGTCTATTTAAGAGGATCCAACGTATTTGCACGGCTGATGTTATAGACAAAGAAAACGAAATATTGATGGATACTCTTGTTGGAAACGGATATCCTTTGAAATTTTTAAACAGGTGTAGAAGTCAACTGTCCTCTAAACCTACAATCCATACCGTCCCTAAGAAAAAGGTTTTCATCAAATTACCATAGAACGGGGATACAAACAGTAGGATTTTGAGACAAAGGTTGAATTCGATCATCCGTAGAACCTACTATGCAGCCTAGCTTGTAATTGTGGAAAAAGCTTCACTGGAAACCTCAAAAGTGCACAAGTGATTATATCACATCACACACAATTTACGAATTTTCGCGTGTGTGTGTGGACATACATACATAGGGAGGAGTAATCGCGCGTTGCACGTGAGGGTGGGAGAGCATATCCCAAAATGGTTAGAAAAACAGATGAATTGTGACAAGCCAGTAGATGCAGGTGTCAGACTACCAGCTTCGTCTATAGCTAAACATCTAATCGAGATGAACCCTAAGGTTGATGTTAACTCAGCCTTTAAGGCCATCTTTAAAAACGGTCAAGGACGTTTACTGAAATACGCTGAGGCTATAGCCATTCATAAACTTAAGCCCCCCTTGTATTTTCAAAAACTGTTTGTTATTACCCTTAACCTACCTTGGTAATCCTTATTGGATTGGATCACCGAACGTTTGTGTTAATTATTCTTAATTCATTTTTTGTCACTTTGTTTAACTTAACTTTTCCATATATATTGACTTGACAAGTAAATGTGTGATCAGATTGTTCGAAATGTATAGTGCAAATACATCACATTTTTCAGATAATCTCCGTCTTTTAAATAATATTTGGTCGATCACCTTTATGAGTAGGATATACGATCTTGTCACTCTTTTCATAGCTAGACATTTCAAAACATTTCTTGAGCAACCAAGTCAATTGTCACTATCAGGTTGGAAAAGACAGGAATTTTTGGAAACTCATAATTGTGAATATGTTCCAGCATTTATTAAAAGGCGAATATATGATCACTAAACCCACATTAGCGCCAGACGCTTACTTAGTTTTTCTTCAGTCTTACTCAGTCTTCGCCGGACTATGGCGGGCAAAATCTTAGATACGTTGTTAAAGAAAATCCACATATAAATATCACCTGACATACCTTTGTCTTTTCAGCTTCTTTCGTTACACACAATTTGATAACACTTTTTTCGAAGACTTAACCCTCAAAGCTTCATATAATTACAGCTATATAAAGCACACGCTAAACGTTTACTGATACGTAACGAAATCTAATTTAAAATCACCAGTTTGCGAAATGTTATATTACTATTACTTTACCACCATAGTTGTTAGTATGTGACTAGACTACGTATGGATTTTAGATCTGACCATATCTGCATCTAAAGGTCCTGGGATCACTAATTTGACTGTCTTATTTGTTTGCGTAAATACCACTATTCTTCTGAAATTTCTTAAGTTAATAACTTGAAATCACCTGAAAATTTTTCAACTTGATGTTGACTTCCATCAAAAACTGTATACTGAATTTTTGTCATCTGTGTATTATCTTCTGTTCATCGACTCTTCATAGTTAACATTTTAAACTATAAAATTTTGTACATTGTCACTTTCTTCCTTCAGGGACATTCGTATTATTTATGCAGCACAGGTGCTGAATGGTTTGCGGGACTTTTCAATATACTCTTCTTTACTACATGGGCGTATGAATTCAGTAATTATGCTTTACAGATGCCCAAGGTAAATTGGGATAATTCTTACCTACAGTTTATCATACATACATATTCATTGTTTGTTTTTTATTCCTTTACGTTCCCAGTGGAACATAAGGCTTCAACCTAGGGGCTTGAAGTTTCTGTAACAATGGCGATTATTTTTAGAGGATGGAGTTGCTAGCCTCTGCCCAACTTTCCTTCTTTATCAGTCTTGTCATTGGCTTAGTGAAATAAAGGAGTGCGTTGGCTCGAGATCAAACCTCGGACCACCTGCATGGTCGGGGAGCAATCTACCTCTGTGCCACTGACGCACATATTCATTATTAGCTACTACATATTTTAAAATCACAATTGAAGCTTTTAATCCATCGCTTAATTTGGCTATTTTTTCCAATCTTCCGATAGTATTAATTACTTTTTTTATTTATTTTCGATTATAGCTTGATTCCACATCGTATTTTTTGTACAAGTATGGAATTTTCAGCATTTGATATCGGTAGCCCAAATTTTGCAGGCCGACCGTTGATATCAGTTGCGCGTCGGCAGGGGATCGAACCCGGGACCATGTGCATGGTCGGCGACAGCCCTAACCACTGTGTCAGCTTAATAATGAGTTCATATAAATGGCTGAAGCCAGGTGGTTAGAATACTCACTTTCTGAGTTTTCGCACAACACAAATTAGATTTGGCAAAATACCTTATTTAACGAGTAAATGTGATATGTTAAAGCTTTCAACTAATAATTGGACAATATCCGTGTTCGTTGTAGTAGAAGGGAATATCTAGAAATATTTTTGGAACACAAAGCAAGGCACTGATATTCTCTAAAATCTATTTTTCCAGATATTTTAGTTTCATAGTGATGTTACTACTTAGAAATTATCACAATGCTTAAGAAGATACGATAGAGCCATGCTGCTTATTCTTCAGTCAGTTATACTGATTTTGTAGCATAAAGACCATCCGCCTAATTCTATCCACTCTGTGAGAAGTAACTACTGTCACTTTTACTACACAGTTATCTAGTTTAGACAAATTTGTCTACTAATCTTTGATTCCTTTTCGTTATGAAGAGAAAATGAGCAAATAACAGGAATATGAAGATTACTACATGCATTTTCTATTGATTTATTATGTTAAGCGCGACTTTCAGATTTATTTACAGTGATTTGCCTAACTTTATTTATTTATTATGCTTTATCAGATTGCACTCAACAGTGGTAACCAGAATTGGTGTGGATAAATCAAATCTACGTACTGAAAAGTAGCCTTTGTAGTCACTGTTTTTGTTCCAATTGTTCATATGAATGCATGTATATTGAAATTACAAAGACTGTAGAACTCATTTTTTTACGGTTTTGTTTTTCCTAGGCATTCAGTTTATGTCTATTACAATGGAAATTTTCTCATAACTTCTTTATATTATTTACTTTTTAGATAGTCCACAGATCGCCTAATGAGATTTCAGAAGGGGTTGACTCAAAATCCCAAATACGTGGGACAGATGATGTTACAACCTCGCATAGAATGATTTTTTAAACTAAATTATTCGTTGATATTTGACTATACGCTACAACAGACTTTTCTACTGTCATAAACTTTTCTTTCTGTTTCAATATATCACATATTTTCATTATTATGTTTTGTTATCACTAAAGTAAAAAAAGCAAATGTTTCCTATTAAGGAAACAAAATGAGTCAGTAAAAAGTAATAATACAAGTAGTGTAACGACAGAAGGCAAGAGTCAGGCAACAGATCATTTATTAAGGAAATCAACGCATATTTATATATGTTTTCATGTACATTACTATGGATATGTAAACAAACAAACACAGTCTTCCGATGGGTTGTTTCTCACGTAAAGTTAATCTTTCATCTATTTGTGACTGTTTCTTGAATGTCAAATCCCCTATATGTTAACTGCATCCGCCTACGCAAAGTCTGCTGTGGTCGGTTTTGAATCAATCTTTGTTCACATTTTCTCATGACAAATCTTGGGAACGTAAACATTGACGTCAATTACTTTCTACCAATTTGGCCAGTAGACAGCTCTCACCACAGATTAACACTGAATAGAATCACACTATGGAAAGTAAACCACGAGTTTGCTTAATTTACAAATCAATTTTTCTCTCAAATCAACCCCAGCCAAGAAACGGTTGAAATTTGTATGACACTCGAGATTTTTCTGAAATCTTCAACAATGATCATCTCACTGTTATACGCTATAAATTTTGTGACACTCATACTCTTAAGAAGGCGTTATTATTCAAACACAGTAGATGCAGTTTTTTTATATTTTTCATTTTCTTACGTTTTTTTTGTAAAGTAAGATTCCTATCATAGTTGAATGGATATTGGAAGTAACCTCGGGCAAAAGTAGATATAACCGACATGCCAAGTACTATGGTGGTGATGATAATATCCAGTCACCACTTATTATCTAAGCATATTCTACATATATGGCCGGAAGTCGGAACAGTCCTTTTTTATTTTCCTGATAGTTACTGGTTAAAATTTTATCAGATAACAGAAATAATTTAGTGTAGGTTTCATACACGTTTAAATCCCCGTTAAAATCTTTCCCAGCAATTTCATGAGTATTGCATATCATTTTCAATGAATTTGTTCAGTATATTTTAAAAAGTATGCAAATACTGAATAATTAACTTAGCCACATAAATTAAAATAACTGGGTCCTAGGTCATATTAATATATGTGTAAAACTTGGGTACTGCGGTAGTAAGTAATTCCATATTAGTTTGTTTATTAGATGTATCACACAGTGAAACAGTATTATTTACTGGATGACGTTTCGAACAAAATTTATTGTTCATAATCATAACATCAAATATAATCACACGACTACGAAACTTGAGTTTTATAGTTTTCTTTGTTCTCTCCTATTTGTCGTAGAAGTAGTAGAATGTCCCAGATATCTAAGACAGGTGTTGAATCATTCCTGTCACATGTATTCGCAGTTGATATATATATATATATATATACATATATGTATTTCTTAAGCACTTTAGATAATACTTTATTTTTCATTTCGATTAAAAGAGTGATCTCTTCTCTTAAAATGTGTTAGGCTAACAATTCTGTCATATTAAAAGAGAAGACGTTCAGCGAAGAATTCATTTACATAGCTGTAAAATCGCATTTATATATAATTATTTTGTGTGTGTGTGTGTGTACACGAGGTTTGTCAAATTTAGATAATTGATCAGGTAATACAAGAATGATCTAATATAAAAACAAGGTTAATTAGACAGCAGTTAAAGTAAGATTGAGTTAGTAAGTTAGATGACGTAATATAATTGACTAATATGTTTCAACTTAGGTCAGGATAGGAACAGAGGTAATTACAGGTAGAGATTAAGTAGAGGTGGGGTAGAGAATAATGCCATTTAAATTAAGACTAAAGTTGAGCAAATTAATTGGATGACGTAACATACATGACTAGAAATTGAGCGTTGGTCAAGTCAATAACAATGGTAATGAAGTTGATAAAAATTAATCGGGTGGGGTAGAGAACAGGAAAGTTGAAAATGTAAAACATTACAACTGAGAAGACAAAATAATATTAATGAAGAGTCAGAAAGAAAGAAAATTTACCTGTTGGGTATTAAGACAGATTGTGCCCATTGCAAGTGTAGTGATTGAATGGACTTCTTGTGTATGCAGAGCTCAGGGCTTAGCAAGTGAATTGCCATTGCTTCTGGTGTTTAAAGAAGTTTGACTCGTACACTTTTAGGAAGAGTACTTCGTATTCTGTAGACGACTTTGAAGTTTGTTTGGGGTGTGGCTTCGTGTCCGGAATGTATCAGATTTTCTAGCATCGTTTTTCTCCTTTGTAAAACCATGCTGGTAAGTGTTCGGTGATACGTTCGGATAGCAAACTCCGGGTACGGCCGACATACCTGGCTCCACAAGAGCAGCTGAATCGGTAGGTATACATTGATGAGGCCAGCAGTGGTAGGTTATCCTTCCCATTCATACGAATAAGTTTCGTGGAGAAGGTTGATCGTAGTTCAGTTGCGAAGAAGGTTTTCTTAGGTGAAGGGGACAGTCAATTTTTCAGTGTTTCTCCAGATGAATCTCCATTGAATTGAAGGTTCATGTAGAGGAGTTTTTTCGGGACGCTGAGCGTTGGCGGAATTTGCGGTCTAGGATTCATGGATTTTGCAATAAATCGTTCTGGATAACAATTCCGGACGAGGATTCTCTTGAGATTATCCATTTAGTCTTCTATGGTACCTGGGGTGCGAACTCAGTAGCTGATTGAACGGATCAGGTTACTTTTGGTGCATAGGGGTATCCAATTGTGAAAGTTAGTAAGCTGTCCGTTCCACGTGAACTTTCTGTAGATAGATAGATAAACACTTCTATGTCTACTTCCTATTCAATGAACTGGAACTTATATTCGTTAATATCTTGAAATGATGATTACCCTTCTCATTTAGAAGTTAACCTATCTTAATTCGCCCAGATGAATTTTTCGATCAATCCAGTATTTTTAAAGTCTAAATGGTGTTCATTTATTAGGCTTTCATTCACCAATATATCTAATTTTGCTTAAAAATGTCTCTTTTTCTACTTCCATGTTTTTAAAATGTTATAAAGCATGGAAAGCCATTATAATTCAATTTCACCTGATTTATACTTGAATTGAGGTAAATTCCTTTCACCGGTTTAGATGAGCAATTTTTTAAAAGAGTAGGTATTGCTTCAAATTGCTCCAAATTTAACCAGAAGTATAACGAAAACACTTTTCACTCTCATTCATATATTTATATATGACGTTATATGCTTCCTAAGGTCCAGGTATTTACGCTATCCTTTTTAGAACTTAAAATAATGTATATGCTAGCAGAGTAATAATATCAGCACTTCTGATCTGGTTCCATATTGTCCGTGGGACTGTATAGCAATAAAACTGTATTTGCGAAACGGCTACATTAAACTATTTTTTAATACAAGTATAATCTCTTCTTTCTATGACTAACACTCGACAGTTTTTTCACTGAATAATAAAAAGCTATTTATGGGAATCCAAAATTAATTTGTCTTATACATATTTATATATATTAAGTAAGGAAATGGGATGTTAAAAACAAGTGAAAGTTTTCTAAAATAGAAATTTATTTCATGATACTAGAAACTGAGTAATAAACAATATTTAAACTGCTTCATCATCTCACTCTAATTTAAATGTAAGTTTGATTATTTTATTTTTCAAAATAAATGTTATAAACATCAATCCAGTAAGCTGAGCTGTTGGGGCCTTCATCATCCAACCTACAGTAGATTGTTGAATTTCAAAAAGTTTGTCAAGAATTTGAATCCATTTCAGTGCTTGTGTTTTATTGAAAATTTCGTCATCAAAATATTTCAATAGATTTACTAGAAGCCATACCAGTTGTGCACACCCACTGGTACGCAAAAGCAGAATTTTTCCCCTTTGTGAAATTAGCGTCTTAACATTCTCATTAAAGATTTCTAAGGCATCATTTATAAATCCGGTAATAAACTGCACAATACCAGACTGATACTTTGTATTTAAGTGAGATGAAAGTATGCTGGAAAGAATCAAGGCCAGTTCAAGAGTTGTTGAATACCAAAGGTTATTATCTGCTTCTGAACGAGCTATGTCTGGTATCATAAAATACTTCAAAATTGTAAAACACTGAACAAAATCATAGGAATTTTCTTTCAGATGTTCCATTGTCTTGTTTACCCACAAGTTAAATATGGTTTGTACATCTTCCTTCAGATCAATAAAAAAGTTCATCTTCTTTACAGAGATTAAACCTTTTTTACTACTTTTCTTAAAAGCTTGAATAAGGATATTTGCAGATGAAACCAATATCTCCCGTAAACTGTATTTTAACTGATGAACTACTTGATTATTTGTAAGTAGTAAAGTGTTTTGCAAATTAAATTTTGTCAACTTTAACTGACTTGAATTGTATATCATGTAGTTGCTTATCTCTATGAGGAAGTTATTTCAGATTTATATTTTTAAGATTAATAATCTTACCTGTAATTTGATCAGTACTTATATCGTTGTCATATGAATTTTGATTCAACTGTTTGTTTTCATGTAACAAACAAAAATTTAAAATAGCCTCTTTTTGTTGTTCTCTTTTTTTGTATTGATGTTGAAGAAATTTCACGAAGTCATAACAGGATACATTTGGTGGTGTCTGTTTTACAAGGTAAATTGCAACTGATGTTTTCGCCACCATCAGTGTCATGTTAGCCAGGAATTCATTAAAATCTGAAGTCTTGTCTAAGCGGTTCATCTACAATGAAAATGACATACACTTGAAAATTCCACTAGATTTTAAGTAAAAACCAATTCTGATGCAATCGTTTTTCTCCCGTGTAAGAGCCAGCTTTTATCTTTTAACTCAAAAAATTCAAGTGAACAATAACATGGTGTATGGTGATTTTTCCCTACGTATCTGTACTAAACTCTTCAATAAAACCAGTGATACTTAAATGCATCTTAATACGGTTCAAACGTTAGATTACCATATAATGCGTAGAATAAAGTTCAACAAATATACAATATGAAAAATTATATGATCACTCAACATACTGTGAACCAGAAAAGTTCACTGTGTAGGAATGTTTGGTTTGTAAACTAAATATAATACATACGAAGCAGCTAAAAAGAGAACTTTTAAATAAAAACACCCTATGTGAAACCACATACGTTTATTTAGTTGCCTAAACTG